CTGGCTCCTTGCTCATCTCCTAAAACAAAGCCATTTGTTAAGTCTCATACACAGGCTTCTTTTTTTTTTTTTTTTTTGTCTTTTTGGATTGAAGTATTTCACTTGTTAATTTCCAGTTCTATCCATTTTCCAGCAAAATAATTTCACTCTTCTTATTGGCTGAGTAGATCCACATATACCACATTTTCTTTATTCATTAACATTTTACTTTTACGTCAGATGTACAACCTAGGATCAGTACATATAAGAGAAAAATTCTCCAGAAAAATATGCCATGAACAGAAAAGAAATAACCCAGAGAAAATAGAGAAGTTAGTCTATACAAATATCTTAAGAGTAAGTACTGTATTTAGTACTCTTAAAGATACAGAAGAGATAGTGTTTACAACAACAGAAGAAGGAAAAAAAAGAGTGCTCACTTTGGCAGCACATATACTAAAATTGGAATGACACAGAGAAGATTAGCATGGCCCCTGCGCAAGGATGACATGCAAATTTGTGAAGAGTTCCATATTTAAAAAAAAAAGAAAGGAAAAAAAAAAGAGATAATGCAGGGGTGGGAGGAGATAAAAAAACAGAAAATAACTATAAAATGAAAAGTATGATTACTATAACAAATCCACTGCTAGAGATAAAGAAGTCATGATAATCTTTCAAAGAATAAACTAAGAAAAAATAAAAGTATAAACAATGTGATGAGAGAGAAAGAGAGAGGGAGAGGAGAGATCGGGAGAGAGACACTGACAAGAGAATCCAGGATGTTCAACATCCTAGCTGATGGGTTGGTTAGAAAAGTGAACAGGGAAAACAGGGCGAAATTATCCATAAACAATGAGAAAATTGCCCAGAACTAAAGGACACAAATCTTGAAATTGATGTGCCCACTAACCATTACCATGATATATGAAAAGAAAGACCACCCAGGTATGTTATTAAACTGTAGAGTACTTTAAAAATAGTAAAATAAGCTGGGTGTTGGTGGCTCACATCTGTAATCCTAGCTACTTAGGAGGCAGAGATCAGAAGGACTGTAGTTTGAAGCCAGCCCCAGGGGAACTAGCTTGTGAGACCCCATCTTGAAAATACCCATCACAAAAAAAGGGCTGGTAGAGTGGCTCAAGTGATAAGAGTGCCTTCCTAGCAAGTGTGAGGCCCTGAGTTCAAACCCCAGTGCTGCCAAAAAAATAAATAAATTTTAAAAAGTAAAATAAGAGAAAGGAATCTGGATATCAGTGAAAGAGAAATCTGGTCTGACATGTAAGAATTAGAAGGGCATTGAACTTTCAACAGAATTATATTCGAAAGTAACATAATTGAGTTTTACAATCCAGCATTTCTGTTCTCAGCTAAGTAGTCAACCAAGTCAAGAGGGCAGAAGATATACTCTTAAAAGACAAAGATGCAGAAATTACATCCCATACACCATTTCTTGTGAAGTTACAAGAGTATGAGCCCCAGCAAAACAAGGAAATAAACCAAGTAAGAAAAAAAGAGAATCATACATGTCTACGCGGGCTGGGCTTGGTGGTTCAGGTAATCACAGTTATTTGGGAGGTGGAGATCAAGAGGATCTCAGTTCAAGGCCAGCTCAGGCAAAAAAAGTTAGTGAGACCCCCATCTCAATAAACAAGTGGTGGTTTGTGCCTGTAATCCGAGCTTCATGGGAAGTATAGGTAGGAGGATCAAGGTTAGTCTCAGGCAAAAATGAGAAATCCTACCTGAAAAATAACTGAAGCAATAAAAGGGCTAGGAGCATGGCTCAAGTGGTACTGTACCTACCTAGCAAATGCAAAGCCAATGAACAAAAAAGTTTTCACCTAAAACAACAACAAAGAGAAATACAGCTTGGCACAAAGCACGGGGTCCTCATTGGGACAGGAAGACTGAAGGTTCTGAGACAGACACAACTCATTGGGTAAGGAAGTCTGGCTGAAAAAACAGCAACAACAAAGAATAACAACATCCGTGCACAAAAAATCAGGTGAAGAGTGGAAGAAAAAAATGAATGCTAGTGATTGCTGGGTAGTGGGAGGGAGAAAACTGCTCAAGAAAATAAAATTGAATCAACTGAAAACAGAGCTGTCTTTGTACTGGAAGGATAGGAAGTCAATGGATAAAGCAGGACATAGTAGAATACACACACACTATTAAAAATATGGAAAATTACCAAAAGAAATAGTAAAAGGAATGAAAAGTAAATTTATCTGGTAAGTGGGCCAGAGGTGGGGTAGAGGACAGGTTACTTTTTCCATTCCATGTCTCAAAGAACTACTGGTTAATATATTATATACATATTAATTTGATAAAAATAAAAATGTTATTTTACAATTGAAGCTTTAAAATATTCTGGTCACAGTGAAACTTTGTTCTGTTAACTATTTAAACTAGGATTTGTCTAAATTTAGAGAATTCAAAACCTTGTCCTAAAGGGGCTATGACGAGGTTACTCCCATAACTTCTATGAGGTTTAGGAATGATTACCTACTGACAATTCAATCTCAAAACATACTGGACAAAAAACTGAAATTTATTTAGAAGAGATAAGGTGGCCTTCAGCTAAATCGACACAAAACAGCCTAAAGGTATTAATATCCTAAAGGGATACTGCAGTACGAAGCTGGTCAACGGTTAGAGCATAGAAAAGGGACCTATGAAAGCAGCATTGGCTTGTCCCCTGCTTAGGCGTGGGGGGGGGGAGGGGTAGTGCTTCTAAGTTCCCACAGCAAAGGTTCGTGCATCTCCAAAATGGAGACAAATACACAGTACTCATTATGATGCTAGTAATACCATCCAACTCTCCTTCTAATTCTATTCTCATCAAGTATATTTCTGGCATATTACTTAACTTTCTACATAAATATGCAAAAATAAGGAAAAATGCAAAGATCACAAAGGGAGTGCTTGATTACTTTACTGATATTTCTCATCCATATTATTTCATTTTATACATCAATCTGTGATCTTAATGAATGCTATCTGATGTGGAGGACAAATTGCTCTTGATGTGCTATCAACCCTGCAGGATTGAAAGCTACAAGCCAGACAACATCAATGCACAAAGTTCTTCCACACTGAGTGTATGTCTGAGTAGGCTTTCCTCTTTTCTTTACACTATAATGAGTCAACACAGAACTTTCCAGGCAGATATTAGCTGTATAAGAAAACATTAAATGAATGCAATTTGCCACGGCTCTTAAAACACTTGCATTTAACTGTAAAGGTCTTAGATCAAATAGTCTGGAGAGGCAATTGCTACTAGGCAGCAGCACTGCAGCAGTATTTCAAGACTGCTGTAGAATTACTGAGTTGTTCAGTATTGTCTACTTGTTCACCTTCACTAGCATAATCAAAATCTATCTACTTATAATAAAAATTTAATAAATTTATTTAAAATAATAATTAAGAATAGTAGTAATTCCTCCTTCCATGTGCTCATCCTCTTTCCTGCCAACAAATAGAAGACACAAAAAACTTACATGGCACTGTAGTCCCAAATCTAGTGGGATTCAACACTATGAACCTGTTTTTCAAACTTCTTCTGCCCACACCTTGAGCTCCTATTAATACTAATGTTTTTCTCTGGAAAGGGGGCATCTTGGCTACTTCCTCATATATCTGGATTTCATGCCGATCAAATTCTAAATGTGAAAGGAAATAGGAAAGCATTACACTCAGTTATCTCTCATATATATGAAAAAAATCTGCTCTTCTGTCCAATAGTTTTGTTGTCTTAATAAATAAACATCACTTGAATTATATACATGGAACACTATCCAGTTTATTTGGTAAGGCACAACAAATTATTTTATATCTTGATTTAAACATCCATTCTCATGTATTTGCCTTTAAATTTTTATCTAAGGAAGAAAAATTCCCGCTTTATCCTTATTTATCAAATAGTCCACATTTTAAAGGTCTTATTATCAATTTGTCAGTAGAAGTAATTGTTTTAAAATAAGTAAATTACAGATAAGATTATACAGTTTACACCAAATAGCACACATTGGGTATGGAGGACAGGAATGTACCCAACGCAGCTGCTAAAGTGGCATAGGCTGACCATGCCCTTCCAATGACACGAATGAGAACGTGCTGCATAAAATGTGTACAGACAAAACATACTGACATTTAAATATCACAATTTTGAAATTTACCTATAAAATGTTAGATCCGAACTAAACACATCCCTAAATTATAAATCATAGTCAGTGGGAAAATTACAAATTTTTTGTTTTTCGAAAAAGTCTTATATGAGTAACAAAGCCAAAGTGAATCTGAAATATTGTTTTATCTATTATTGCCAGAATTCTCAATCTATAATAACAATTTTCTCTTAGATTATGATTTCAACAACAACTCTTTCTTCGCACAGTTTCTCCATAGTAGATTACACCATCCTATTCTTTTCTATATGATTTCCTTTAACAGGTGCATATATTATCATGAATATGGTAGTTTCTACATTTATTTTCTTTTAAAAAATCTTTTATTAGGATATATTCATTATATGGGGGGGATTCATAGTGACAATTCTGATTAGATTTATATTATATATATTAATTACATTGCCCCCATCGTCTCTCCCCCTCCCCACCCCACTTAAAGCAACTGCAAGAGGTTTCCTAGTTCTGTTTCATATAGGTATATGAAGTCCATCTACCATATACCCTCACCTTAATCTCCTTCATTCACTAGACCATACCCCCCTACACACTGCACCTATTTTACAGTCCTGATTTTCGTTATTAATATTTAAGTTGATGTTCAAAGGGGTGTCTCAATGTGTGCCCACTGTGGGTGTGCTTTACTTTGGTCTGTTCAACCCCTTCCATTACTCTCCCTTAACCCTTTACCTCCCACCCCCAACTCCCCATTTTTCAATAGCTTTCAGTACACATCCTTATATCCTCTACCTTCACATCTTATGTTATGTGATATTACTAATGCTCTATCATTCTCTTTTCCTGTCCCTCTTTCCCCAAATTCCATAGAGTAGTTCTACTGTTACAAACATGTTCTACATCCGAGTTTGTATATGACCATGCTTGTTTTTGTGTATGTTTATCTTTGGATCTATCTTCCACATATGAGAGAAAACATGCAGCTGTTGTGTTTCTGGTCCTGGCTTACTTCACTTAACATGATGTCCTCCAGTTGCATCCATTTACCTTCAAACCACATGTCATTTTTCTTCATGGTTGAGTAATACTCTATTGTGTATATATACAATTGCTTGATCCATTCATCAGTTGTAGGGCATCTGGGTTGTTTCCAAAGCTTGGTTATTGTGAATAGTACTATGATGAACATCAGTGTACAGGTGTCTCTGCTGTATTCTGTCTTACGTTCCTTTGGGCAGATGTTCAGGAGCGGTATCACTGGATCATACGCCAGTTCTATCTCTCTTTTTTTTGCAGTCTCTATACTGCCTTCCATAGTGGTTGTACTAGTCTGCATTCTCACAAGCAGTATATAAGGGCTCCTGTATTGCCACATACTCACCAGCGTTTATTGCTGTTATTACCCTTGACTATGGCCTCTCTAACTGGGGTGAGATGAAATCTAAGTGTTGTTTTGAACTGCATCTCTTTTATAACCAGGGAAGTTGAACACTTCTTCAGGTATTTACTAACCATTTGTACCTCTTCCTTTGAGAATTCCCTGTTTAATTCATGTGCCCATTTCTTCATTGGTGTGTTGATTCTTTGGGGGCTGAGTTTTTTGAGTTCCCTGTAGATTCTGGATATTAGTTCCTTATTGGATGAATAGCTGGAAAAGATTTTCTCCCATTCTGTGCCTTGTCTCTTGAGTCTGGTGACTGTTTCCTTTACTGTGCAGAGGCTCTTTAGTGTGATGCAGTCCTATCTACATTTATTTTCCTCCTCCTCCCTTTTTTTTTTGAGACAGGGTTGCCTCCAACTCTGATCCTTAGCCTCCCAAATGGTGAGATTACAAGTGTACACTACCATATATGGCTTTCTTCCTTTGTAAATAAGAAAGATATACCCAAGCTGGTGTGTGTGTGTATTTTTGTTTGTTTTAGTGCTAGGGATAGAACTCAGGGCCTTGTACATGCTAGATAAGTATTCTACCAATGAGCTACATCCTGGACCCTTGGTCTGGGGATTTTTAATTTTTTTAAAAACCCTTTTCTAGCTTTATTATATAACTGACAAATATGAAAGGTTTGTTTGGTCCAGTGCTATTTCCCAAAAGTCTCACGGACAATGATATGGGAGAATAGTCACCCTTCATTATAACTCTTTTAAATATCTTCATAAAGGCACTCTGTCCTTTAGAAATGGCACATAAAGTACTATTTCAAAATTCCCTCAACGAACAGGTTCAATACCTACTGCATCTGCATTAATATAAGTTATAATCATGTCATTTTTGTTGTAAACGGTACTTACATAATAAAGCACACTCTTAAAGCTAGTTAAACTTCTTTAAAAAAGTATTAAAAACTTACCCGCATTTCTGGTTGTGAGATACATCATCTTTTTCTTCTTTTTGCTACTTATGGTCCCACAGAATGGTCCTGAAGGATGACAAGACAAATACAACTTAAATGGTATGTCACAATATGATAAAGCTGCCATGTTTTATGAGGGCAGGACAATTATCTTTCCAGGGACCAGAGGTGAGTTAGGCCACTGTGTTTTGATACTCTACCAGTAGGTGGCAGAAAGGGATCAAAAAGATGACTTTTGAGAAAACAATAAAGCAGATAGGAGGGACTAATTCTAGATATATTTTAAAGAAATTCATTTGCATATTTATACAAAAGAGGCAGAGAAAGGTGAGTACTGGGTTTGCTTGTTACTTATTGTGTGGAGTTCGTCACCTGAACTGTCCCAGTCTCTTCTAACAAACGCCTTTCTCTTCTCTTCCAGGAACTGGCTTGGAATGAGACCAGCGCTTCCTCCCTCTTTCACATGGCTAGCCTAGAATCAAATTAATGAGTTGTATATCTCAGTAACCAAAATTAGGAGACCATAGTCTAGTAAGTAGAACAAGCAGTGATTACTTAAAAAGAAAATCACATTTGCTTTTACAAACAATCTTTAGATTTACATCAATGGCACTGTCAGTTAAGGTACTTAAAACACTTCCATAGTGAGAAACCAGTTGGTACCTAAAGTTCTTTATCCATGTCATCTGGTAGGGAAGTTTTGAAACCAAAATACAAAGGTATAAGGGCTCCTTAAATCAGTGCAATTTTTTAATTTATAATACCAAGTTAGTCAAAGAAGGGAAAGAAATGCATGAAATTCTATAGTAAGATGTGTTAAGAGGACATTTCATCTAGTACCTTTTAATGAGCTATTTAACTATCAACCTTAATCCTACTATGTTGACTTTCTTAAGGTCAAATCAATGAAAAGGAGACAATATTTTGGGAATATACAATGTAGAATTTTCTCTCTCATGCACTCTTTTTTGTTTGCTTGAGACAATATCTTGCTATATAGCACAAATTGCTCTTGAATTTGAGATTCTCCTGCCTCCACTTTTCAAGTGCTAGGATTACAGATGTGCTACTCCGCCTGGTTTAGAGTGTAGACTTTAATTCATGCTAAGAGGAATCTGTTCATCCTGAGAGGTAGTAAATTTAAAGTAGATAAAATTTCATCTAATGTCAAAAAAACTTTTTAAGTTAAAATAAGTGATACTTTTAAATAGCAGTTGGAGAAATAGATTGCTAGTGGCTTATCTCACAAAGTTAGTGTCTTTATTCCTCTAACTGGCATAGAAAATGGTATTGGTTTTAGCAATTCTGAACATTAAAATTAAAGTAATAGACTCAAAATGAAGGAAGAGACTGAGATAATGCTGACAGGATAAGAACAGAAAACTGAGAGATGACATTTGTAGAAAATGAAAGAAAGAGGGGAAAGTGGGAAAAAAAATAAAGGAAACAGCCACAGAACATATATTTTTAAAATGAACATTCTAAGAAACCTCTAAAATCATGGATTCTTTTTAATTTTCTTAGCTTTCTGCCCATTTATGCATAATACTGTCTTATACAAAATACTGCACTTACACATAATACGGTCTTCAATTCAGGGCACACTAGTGAGACGGTTCTCATTCTGTAAATCATTCAAATCCCTTAGAAGTCAGTTTAACTCATTAGAGCTGACGTGAGCTACCAGCACCTCAGTGAATTTCAGAGTTCGGTGCTGGGTCCTAGGCCCATCCTTCCCTCTTAACCTTGCTCTCTAATGAGACTACTCGTCGCGCTGATAATTTAAGATTCCCGACTTCCTTATTTATCAGTTTCTCCAATTCTAAATAGTGTGGTTTTTAGCTCATATAAGCAATTACAAAAACAGACTTATTACTGCTTTCAGTAATAAGTGGTATTAGGGGAAAGGAAAAAGAACAGTATCACACAGATGATAATATACATTTCTTCCCACATATACAGATTTTAATTCAAGACCAAACAAAACTGACAGAGTTAACCTTCATTTATCAATACCTGGGAAGAAGAGGGCAAACAGATTTAAGACCTTAAGAAATTATGTTTTACTTGCCATGAATGTACACAGAGACAGAAAAGACAAAGACTACTGTATCCATGGTAACAGACGCTTAGTTGAAACAAACCAAAACCAAATACAAGGGATGATTCCAAGTGACTTCTTCTTGCCCAACAGCATATTTGAATGGGATCAACCATGTGTAGGAACTAATTAGTCTAATCACTAAACCAATGGGACAGTACCATAGGTGGGTTATTTCTGCATTTATTAACAGCTACTCACAAATTCCCTCTCAATTTGGTCTTCTGTCCACAAAATTAGTAGCCATGAAGCAGAAGCTGTTCATGCAGGAAAAATCATTGGAACAAATGCTACTACCTTCGTCCTGCATATTCAGATACTGGCCAGATCTAAGATTAGAAATAGAAAAGCAGTTCACTTTTGAGAAGCATACTAACCTGCCACCAATTTGGATCTTCTCTGTTTACAATCTGAAGAATTTCTCCTTTGGAAAACTTCAGTCCTGCTTCTTTGCAGGGAATCAGGTTATCATTGTATGGATTATAATCAAAATGACACTTCACAAATACCTAAAACACACAGCACAATGAAAAATACTACAGATGTGTCATATGCCACTGGATTTTTTTTTTTGGTGGTACTTGGGGTTGAACTCAGGGCCTCATGCTTGCTAGGCAGGCACTCTTAACACTTGAAAAATGGCCAGTGCAGCCATTTTTGCATGGTTATTTTTTGAGATAGGGTCTTGCTTTATGCCAGGCCAGCCTGGACCACAACCTTCCTATTTGTGCTTCTGGCATAGGTTGCATGCCACTGTGCCTAGTCATTGGTTGAGATGGGTGGGGGTGGGGGGGCCCAGATCATTTTTCCCAGGCTGGTCTGGAACCTCCATCCTCCCAATCTCTGCCTCTCAAGAAGCTGAGATTATAGGTGAGAGCCACTGAACCCTGCATACTGAATTTTAAAAATCTCTTTCAAATCACTATTTCATACTTTCAGATAATGAATTGTCTCTCACAAATAACAATCAAGTTATTAGGATATTAATAGAATGTCATCAGAAAAAAATATAAACCTTAATGCTAAATTAAAATTTCATTTGTATAACTTCTAATCTTAAATCATAGAGTCTAACAATAATTTCACTCCATCAATTCTTCTACTTCCCCCCAATCTTTTCACTTAACTTTCCAACCAACTGCATAATTTTTAATGTAAGTAAATGCTACTTTCCAGTTAGCATCCTGAGATAACATATGCAGGTAATATAAACTATGTATTTCAGATGCCTTAGGACTGACTTTGTGAAGATGCCATGAAAGTTCATGCTGAAGTCAGACTTGAAATGTATTTGGTAACCTTAAAAAAATTTAAAAACTCAACTTTTACCCCTAGCAGTATTTTTTAATCAGACAGACTTACACTGGGCAAAACAAGCAAAAAATATATTGAAATCATTGTACTCTCATTTATATGATCACTTAAATTTAAATAATCAGCATTAAATTAGTTAAGACAAATATTAAAAAGCCTTTCAAATATTTTTCAATTTAACATCAACTTTTTCTTTTTTTTGGTAGTACAGGGTTTGAATTCAGGGCTTTGGTTTGCTAGGCAGGCACTCTACCACTGAGTCACACCTCAATCCCCATAAAGTCATTTAAATATACACATGTCTCTTAAATTTGTTTTACTAATAAAAGTATATCAGTTACCAATGCTACTTAGGATCTCTAGTATTTGCAATGTTTTGCTTATTCACTTTAATTTGAATTCTAATTAAATTAAGCACTATCAATATTTAATGGCAAATTTAGATCAACTACTCTCTTAAAATTTACTTGTTTCACCTTCATAGAAATTATAATTTTATCTTTTAAAGCATAGCCTTAGCATAAATCAGCATCAGCAGGTAAAACTTAATAAGCAGGAAAAGCACACAATTAAGTCAAAATAACTTTGTTATTTTTCTGTTTGTTTATCATACTCCTATAACTACAACCAAACCAGATATCTAAATAGTACAAGTAAATACATTATATTATTAGTGCATTAAAAAAAAGCAAAACTGATAGGTACACACTAAAATCATTTAAAAGTAACAATCTGGGGGCATGTGAAAATATTTTAGTTATTTAGATAGAAATCATTGAGAATATTTCTCAATAACTTCAAAAAGGCTAAAAAACAATGCTTAAAAGTCAGTAAGCCAGTAAGTTTTTTTGTAGATATATAATTTAGAAGCATCTGAACAGCAAGCATACAAACTATATTAAGACTGCTAAAATGTGACAGTGGCTAATGTGGCAATGCATGCAGCTCACATGTTTTGGCAACGAGAAAAACCCAAAACAACTGCATTCAATCAAGGTAAATTTAGTTGACTGGCAACACAAAAACAAGTAAGAGAGTACTCTGGAATCGGGACATCATACCTGATGGATGCGTGCTGGATGCCGCTCCATATTGGCCCAACTCTAAAAATATATTTTCCAATTGCATAAATAAAGCCAGACTTTTAATGTATACTAAACTAGTAACATACAAACTACTCGTCCATTTCATTACTTCACTCATTTTGTAAAGCAACCACCTCCCTGATTAACTGTCCATAGGTTACAACATCTTACAAATTATAAATGAGAGAAGCAAAACTTAGAGCCATTTAGGATGAGCTAGGAAAAGAGATTAATATGAAAAGTTTAGAAAAATACCTGAATACTCCGACTTCTGAAGAAAGGGGCCTGACTGAAGAACCATGTCTGCCACCTACCCATGATGTTTTTATCATTCTTATGTGTGGAACAGAATATATTTTGTAACCATAAAGTTCCAAATTTCATCCAAATTTCAAATACTAATTCCCAGGCTCCCAGTAAGTTGTTCTGGAAATGCCATTATTTATGGCATACAATCTATAGCTCTCAAATGTAAGAGTTCTAGAAGGAAAAAATTATTTTTTCATTTACAAAATAACTTTTGGCAGTCATTACCCTCATGCTCAAAAACTTAAGAATTTACTTGGTTTTACTTTGGCAAAATTTGTCTGGAAAATCAATTGACCTAATCTTTGACCTAGGAATTTTGTAACTAACTTTAAAATCATTAAAGCATTGACTAGATTTAGTATCATTATATTCTTAAAGTGTTCCACTAATAGGCTATATATGTTAACTGGGAATTATTAAGGGGTTACTAAACACTACCTACTAAAATAGGTATTTCAATTTCATAGTCTTCTTATTAAAAGTAAAAACTGACAAACAAAGTAGATAGGACAGAAAAAAAGAAGTAGATGTTCAACCTCGCTCAGTAGAAATAAAAATTAAAACTTATTGGGAAAACATTTTCTTCTTATTTGATTAGCAGAAAGCCAGATATTTGATATATTCTGTAGATAGGACTGTGGGCTAATAGCATTTTCCTAACAGGCCTGTGGAGAATGTTTCAACCTCTTGGGAGGATAATTTGGCAACTGCTACCAAGATTACAAATACATAAACCCCCTGACCTAGCAATCCTCTTCTGGGAATGGAATCAACAGTTTTATTACTGAGATACATGTAAAGTAAAATGTACAAAACTATTAACTACTGAATTATTTGCAATAGAAAGATTAGAAGCAACCTGTTGAACAGTGAATTGCTCATATAACTAATGCTAAGGTCTATAAAATTCTATATAGCTATATACTGTAAAACACCGTGAAAAATACAAGTGTGTATATATAGCAGCAGCACTAAGTATCAATAAGGAAATTTTTTTTTTCTTTCCCTTGTTTTTGGAGTACTTGGTACTGGGGTTTGAACACAAGGTTTTCATGCTTGCTAGAAAGGTGCTCTACCACTTGATACATTCTGCCAGTCCAGTAAGGAAAAAATTTTAAAATAATTGGCTTAAAGAGAAAGAAAAAAAAATACATGGCTAAATGGGGAAAAAAAGGTTCAAAATCACATGTATACTATGCAAACTTTTCATAAAAATGGAGCTGGAAAGGGACTAAGAAGATGTAATTTTATGTGCTTGCATATGAATAAAAAAAACACTGGAAAGGTAAACTAATAGCATAATTTCTACAGGGCAGTGAGGACCAGGTCGGCAGGAAATATCTAAAAACCTGGACAAAAGATATAAAACAATGCATCAAAGACCAGGCAAGGAAGACAGTGATCCCTAAGAGATGGGAACAAAAAAGACAAACTGCACAACTGCCCTGGCTGACTGCACACAGAAAGTCCCGGGTTGCAACTGAGGAAAGGAAGAACTTGAAGGAACCTGGTGGTCTCCAAGCAGAGGAGAGGAACTGGGAGACCTGGGAGATCAAGGTAGCAGCAGAGTATCAGGAGGAAAGCTGCAGAGAGGGCTTGAGAACCACTGGGACTCCCTCTGGTCTTCAGCGGCACAGGATCAGTGATATGAGGAAATTACCGGCAGCTCTTTCCCCAGGATGGAAAAGAATCACTGTTGACAGCATTACTGTCAACAGTGTCGCGAGGTCATACAGGGACAAGAACAATTTCTCCTCTCACCAGTCTGAATGGAAAAGACCTCATAACTCCTGGGAAGAGTCCTTAGAAGGATTATGTCCCAGGCTTCTCCTGCTCTGGTTGTACCTATCAAAGATTAAGGAGCAAGATCTCAAAGGATTAAACTACCAAGTAAACTAACTGCATCCTAGGGAAATGCTTAAGGGTATTTCTTTCTTTCTTTTTCTTTTTTTTTTTTGTATACAAAGTAGGATTTATTAGAGAGAAAGAAAGGGCTACAGCTACAGTAGTACAGCAAAACCTGGAAAATGGTAGCTCCTAGGATATTTCTAATAAAAAAAAAAATCTAACACCCAACCAGGCATGGCGGTATACAATTGCAATCCCAGCATTTATGAAGCTGAGGTAGGAGAAGCTTGAGTTTGAGGCCAGCATGGGCTACATAGTGAAACCTATCTCCAAAAATAGAAAAAAAACAAAAACAAACTCAAATTGACATTAAAGAAACAAAACCAAAATGTCTGAGATGAAAACAAACCAGCAAAGAAAAAAAAAAATCAGGTGTGATTAACAGGAGATTGCAGAAGAAAGATCAGTAAACTTTTTATTGTTTACTTTTGGGGTTTTATTTATTTATTTTCTGAGACAGGATCTTATCATGTAGCCTGGGCTGACTTCAAACTCACTATGTAGTCCGACACTGGTCTTGAACTTGAAAGCCTCCTGAGTGCTGGGATTATAGACAGGGATGTAAAACCATACCTGGCTAAAGATTAGTAAACTTAAAGATCCACTATAGTGATAGAAACTATCCAACATGGAAAACAGAGAAAAAAACCTAAGAAACATACAGAGTATCAGTGAACTATAGGGCAAGTTCAAGGAGCCTAATATATATGTAAATAGTTACCAAAGGTTAGAAAGTAGAGAGAGGAAAAAATCTCTAAAGAAACTAGTCAAAAATTTTCCAAACCTGAGGAAAGAAAGTCTTTTTAAAGAAACAGAGATACAAAGAAGGAAAAATGGGATATTTACGCAAAAAAAAAAA